TTCTACCCACTTTGACGATTATGAGCTACCAATAATATATAATTATATTAACTGCACTGAAAAATGTTGCATCACTTAATTGTAACAATTCATTTTCTAAAAATAGATAATTAGTTACGATAATATATTGAAAATTAGAATTAAATAAAAAAATTGGGATATTATTGACAACTGCAACAACTTGGAAAGGGAATGGGGGAGACCTGAGAGTACAGTACTGATGTGAACCAAATCGTAAAATGGTTTGACGCGAATGAATATTGTGCCAAAAGCAACGTAAATTCAACGCCGCAAACCTGTCCAGTTTGCCGATGAAAAGCGACGTTTAATTAAAATAGGACAACTTTCATAACTCTTTTGACAAGTCAATTAAACAGACTATGGATTGAATTAACGTATAATGCTAAGAGAAACACCGCAGCAGACCCACACCTATGCTCACTACGTACTTTGACAACTCGAGCTTTAGGAACAAAGACCGCAAGACTTTTCTTTATCGCGTACGTACGTTTTCACTCTCTTTCATCAAAAATTCCATTTTTCGTTCTTTCTATTCAACTCGCAGCCGGATTGTGCCCTTCTTTTGTGCAAAGCATCATTATGACATAGTGCTCTGAAGCACGATGTACTGCAAAGTACGATATCAGCGCATTCGCAGCTATCAGCTGAATCTCGCCTTTGGCTTGATTATGAAACTATAATTTGGAGGAATGATCGGACTGTTGGACTGTTCTTTGTAAATTTTCAGTGATGCCAGTATGGTTGAAAAACTTGAAAACAAAGTAACCCAGTGGAGGGGGAAAAGGTCAATAAAATCACCACCGCCAAATCATAAAGTTATCCAATCAGTGGCAATTATCTACTTAAGTGAGGCATTCCTAATAAACCAGTTATAAACCAACGTTATAATCTCATGTACTTTTAATCTAAACATTTTAACTGTTAACATCACATAATCATGATCATGAGAATTTATTGTGTTTATTGTTAAACTACTTTAACTTTTTTATATAAAAGAATATTCCAGTCAATTTTCAAAAATAATTATATTTATTTAAAAATTAATACTGAAAATAAACTTGAACTGGATGTGTTTCGGATGAATACTACAATGCTGTCATTCTCACACTTACGTGCCAGTGAGGGTAGATTATCAGTGTTAAAAAACTAAAGCCATTTCAAAAAATTTATCTAATAATAAAAAATTTTATACTCAAAATGATATTTCCATGAATTAATACTTCAAATATTATATTGTTAACCATTCTTTAATTTCTACCACTTTTCTGTACACGTATATCCATTAGAATGTGAAAACAATAGCTTTTGTGCATTTACATTTCAATCGTTGTATACAAACATCAAAATTAACAATATAATTTTTTTATTTTTTTTTATTCTTGAGCTTTTGTTAACGACATACTAATATCACTGTAAAAGTTCCACTAAGTTTCGTTATGTAACATACCTTCATCGTTGTAGGGGAAATAATTTGTAAACATTACATTCAGAAACAAAGAGATAGGATTGCATGTTTTTCCGTGTACCCTGATGTAATCCGAGAGATCATTTATTTCAACTCACTTGATATTTATCGTGTGCGCCTACATCTTAACAATTGGTTTTAAATTCATATTTATCTTTGGAGTAAAAGAGAAAAAACATGACCCAGATATCGTGTTTCATCACCTGAGCTGCAAATAAGGGTAACGAGCACGCGATCTGGACATTTTGTGCTTCTCACAGTCTATATCTACAAAAGCACTTAATTAGACCAACGCGACGTTTAAGCGTGTACGCATAGAAATAAATTCCATAGAGAAAGTTTGAAAGATGAAAATATTTAATCGTTAAATCCGGACGTTTTCAGTGAAGAACATTTTTTTTTTTTTTTTTTTCTTCTTTTAGTTTCGTGATTACAATGGCTGAAAAGAAAAGGGGTCCTTTGAGCGACGCGTGTGTGTTGGATCCGGGTGATTTTCGGGACAATGCTATCGTCAGTGTCTGGTCTCGTGTACGCTGCAGACACTTGAAGCCTCTCTCGACTTTGTGCGTCAAATGGTGTTCACCTCCCCCCCGTTTTCACATTCCTTTTTTCCTCTCTGTCTCTCGCTGTGCTGCTGCGTTTTTTTTTTTTTTTTTTTTTTGAAGGGTCCATTGTCTGCCCTGTCATCTGTTGAAAATTCTTGAAATTCCCACCGCTCTTTCGCCAAAGCTTGTATTTTTGAAATATTTAAGGTTCTTGCATTCTCGAGTCGCTCGAGGAACAATAAAAAATATATATATTGTAGTGGTTTCTTTTTTTGGAAGCCCAATGTGTATTCTCAAAGTTATTTACGTGTAAAGGGGCGTTAAAAAGTTGGAAACAGTAGCCTATAAAGATACACGGGTTGATAAACTGCTGACTAGGTTTTTTTTTTTTTTTTTTTTTTTTTTGCAAGTTAAAAATCATCCACTCCAAAGTCAGATGCGGGATCTTCGGAGATCCCTGATAAACAATCGTCACTGCCGCGCCACAAGAGTTTGACACAGGAGACACGAAAGGAGCGATAAACAACACAATATCCTCCTACGCGCGATTTTTTTCTTCCCTCTCCGAGCAGCTACTATTTTCTCTTCAGTCGTATATATCTGCATCGCGGATAAAAGGAGGCATAACGCGCGTGACGTATAACACGCCAGAGCCTGCAGGCGACAGGTAGAGGACACACACGCTCGGCTCAAGATCCCCCACGAGACGCTTCGTCCGTCGATGCGTAGCCCCGGGCTGCAGGGATACATATACGTGCATTTACGTGTATATATACATCGAGAGGAAACGTTATCCTCCTCTCACCCGGGTGCATAAAAATAGATGAAAGAGAGAGAGAGAGATATCGGCCACCTCGGGACCTTGAGCTGCTGGCTTCCTCTCTATCTCTGCTCCGGGCTCCTGTTTTGTTTATCTCCCGTGTACGTGTGTGTGTAGAGGTAGATACGGTTACTATACGCGCGTGTGCGTGCATGTAAATCGATGTTCGCCTCCGTGTTAGCATGGGCTTTTGTCGTGCAGACGTCGCCCCTCCCGCAGATAAGGGATAACGAGGACGCGATTTCGGCGCCAATTTGCATCGATAGATACGGCCCGAACTTGGCACTCGCTACCCGGCTACACTGCTGCAGTCCATGTACTCGCGGTGAAAAGCTCCTCGTTTGGCTCGTCCGTACCAGTGATTTCTTTTTTTTTTTCCGCCCCCCGAATAATCGCTCGAGTCGTGCACGTAACGATTGCGGATACTCCGGATTCATTTGGACTTTTAAGCGCTGCCAGTTCTTGGAAAGGTCGATTATAAGGGCATTTAATGTCAAGCTTGTTTATAGAGAAAAGAGACCGTTTGTCCTTTCTGGGTGAGGCTCCTTTGAGCAGATAAAATCACAGGGGTAGGTGTGTATTCTTTACAGTTTGGTTAGCTGAGGGGGTGACCGCGAGTTGGGGAGCCGTACATCTGCATAACGCACGGGAAGCGCCGAACCGAAGCTCCGCGCGGAAGTTGGGTGTCCGTGGAGGCGGTGTAAATTCTACGGACGAGCAAGCGTTTCGAGTTCTCAGGGACAGCATTTTTAAGGAGCGCGTGTATACATTGTGTTTTACGCGTATACCTACCCAATTTTTTTTTCAAAACAACGGTATACCTCCAACGTCTACTATGGCGATGGGGAAACCAAATACGACCGTGGGGATGCCTAATTAGGAAAGCCTCGTTAATCGTCCGTATACCCTCGCGATTAAGCTGTAGCCAAAGTCTCGGCAGCTTTTTTCAAAGCCCCGAGTGTCGAACGAGGAGAAAAAAAACCGAACCCGATCGATCTTCTTGCCGCAGTAAAGGCATCGAGTGTACAGCCGCGCACTAAATTACGCGGAGCGGCCGTAACGACGCCGGTCCCCTCATAAACGTAACAAGTGTCATCTGTTGCGTTCGACGGAGCCCACTTGACTTGTCCCTCCCCACTGGCTCAACGCCAATTGGCAGTTCTAACGAGACTTCCTCCCCATCCCCGTGGCAGCCCATCCCGGAATTTTCCTAAAGTTTCGGGCGAAGGGAGAAAGTACAGTTGTGGGGCGTTCATTCGAATGGTTTTTCCCCACCCACGGCGCAGCGATGTGATTAATGAAGGTAATGACGCGCGCGTGCGAGAAACGCGAATGTCGGCCCGGATGATGGATCGAGTTCAAATTGAAGATCTCGCTCCTGCCCGAGGATGCCACGACTATTTTTCTTGCCTCCCTGGATTCGCGCCTACACGTGCGTGTCCGCGTTTCACGGAGCTTGAGAAAATAATTTGGTAACTCTCTCTCTCCCCCTCCATGCTTATTTTTGGCTCTCGAGATAAGTAGGGATGGGAGAGGAAGCTACAGGTGACGGCAAGAACTCCTAACACGGCCAAGTCATCTCCCGGTCTCCAGCGCGCTCGAGTGCGTAAGTTTTCCAAAATAAGTATATATATATATATATACACGTAGTACCATAAATCCATAACTATATAATAATCATAGGAATTATACCAAGTTCATTTTTATAAAGCAAACGTTGTACGAGTTATGGGAGTCAGCAGAAAGCAGCAGCGAATAATCATAAGTGTACCTTAATCCACGTGTAGAGATGCTTTGATGATAAAATTTCTCTGATCATAAAAGAAGGTATCTCTTCTCCTGCAAGTCATCTCAATAAATCATCATATTCAATACACATTATCAAGTCACTCTGACATTTGCATACTCTTGAATTATCGACTTTTTTTTCGTGGAGTATTATTTACCAAGTGCGAATGAAATAATGAAGTACTATATTATTTTTATTAAAAATAAAAAATAACTAACAAAACACAATACAAATTTTTGCAACGCTTTAATGTACGATAATGAAATCAGCTATTATTAAAATGAAAACCATTGAATGATTTTATAAAAATGAAAATGAAAGCTATGCTTAGTAATAGTTTATGATGAAAAAGATACTCACCCCGTGTTGCATGCCAGTATGAATAGGATACTTCCCAGTCATTAGTGCACTCCTCGAAGGTGTGCATATTGGCGTAACGTAATATCTGTTCAAAATTACGCCGCTGTAAGCGAGCGCATCGATATTTGGAGTAGGGATTTGTCCTGATCCGTGAAATCCCACATCATTCCATCCCTAGAGGGCAGAGTTTTTATACGGCGTTGGAAAGTTTAACGAGGACTGTTACAATTTATAGGGAAAAAAAAAATTTTTTGCTTCTTTTTGAAAGTTAGTATTCGTTTGGTAGCTCGAGTAATCAAACTATATAATGTAAACTCCTTCAATATGAATCTTGCAACAAATATTTGTGTAAGCGCATTTGATGTTTCAATTTAAAATAGACTATCAGTTTTCAACATAAATATAGTGGTAGGAACAAAATGGCTTTTTTATTGCAGAAAATTATTTTTACATCATTTAAATTATTATTGATTCACGATTATCACCGTCGAAAATACAAGCTATACAATATTTTGATACCAGTAATGGGCGTGATGACTATCGCATCTTTAAATCACAAAGAGCAATAATATGTGGGCAGTGAGGAATACACCTCTTTTAAAACGAGCAGCACTCGAAATATTCACTGATTTGATTAGACGTATACGTATCTACATATCTATTGTAAACGAATTTAAATTGGTTCATGCACTACCTCTATGTCCATTTGGTAAGTATATATAAAAAAGGATCGGCAGAGCAAACGATGTGCAATTACCAAATCGTCGGCAACGATGAAAATTATGTGAGGTTTACTTGATTCCGCAAATGTGGCTTTTGGTGTACACAAGACAATAATCATCACAATAACAAAGCACGATTTTACTCTTCCAAAATGCATTCTTGTGCGACGCATTACGTTGACATGACTGTGATGGTTCGAACGCTATGAACAAATGAAAAGTTAGATTTTACTGTAAAAAAAAAAAAAAAAAAAAAAAAAAAAAAAAAAAAACCCCAGAGGTAGGAATACTGAATTTCTTACCGATGTAAAGCTTCTTGTATAAGGAAGTAAAAAGAGCGGAATCATTGAATTATTGAGGTATCTATTATTAAATAAATATTTCCCGTTATACAGACAAACATTTACACTGTCAATAAAATAATTGAGACAACTCGACGGAAATTCAAGTATACATGTTCGATTTTTCTCTTTTCCTTAAAATACATTGTAATGTTATTAGTAATTTTTTCAATAACACAAGAAGGTCCCTACAATTCACCCAAAATAATTCAAATGACCTCATTCCACCAGAATTACTCATTGATCGAACCAAGACACAAGTGCTAAATCCGCCAACTAATTGTGATTCCTTTTACCGTGGACGATTTCGCTCGCATTACCCCGAATCGCCGAGTTTCAGCACAACTAGAGAGACGTGAAATATTAACGCAGACGTCCCGAGACGGGATTAAAAAACTCCGTTCCATTGCGTGAAAATTGTTTCACCCGTTATAGCACCGCAAGGGGCCCGACAATCCATTTCGTTGCCCATTATTCTCAATTTTCCCCGCCAAGCTCAACACCGAAAGCACAGAGTTTCATTTCTTTTCCCATCAACTCGCACGCAAAGAGCACATAAGAGACGGGATGAAAACACCACAGGAGTCACGCCCGTTGAGCAACAACTAATCGAGATAATGAACGCAAACAAGTTGCCCGAGGCTGCATGGAATAAACCGAGTGTTTAATACAAAGCAAACTCCCTGCAGTGGGGGGGTGCAGCAGTTGTTCACTCACCCGCGTAGCGGCGTCTCTTGTACTCGGGAATCTTGATCTTGTCGACGAGCTCGTCGGCCACGGGCAGGGGGTTGTACGGGTTCCCGGAGTGCACGGCCGCGTGGCCAAAGTAAAGAAACATGGGCTGGCTCTCGTTGTGACTGTTTATCAGCTTGACGGCCTCTTTGGTAAATACGTCCGGGGAGTACTGGCCGTGCAGGTCCCAGGCCGTGTCCANAATAAAACAGAGTATGTCTACAACATCATACTTGTTGATGTTAACGACTACTGTCAAATATCGTGTAAAAAGGAAGCTGCACAACCTCAATTTGTAATATAATTTGATCATATCTTTCTGAAGTTTGAAAATAAAGTATTTGATCGGCTGTATCGATCTTCTTTCAATTTTTTTATTGGATACCTTTATTTATAGAACTGAGATTTGGCTTTTTGTTCACTATAAATTAGAATGAGCCGTTTTCTAGAAAAACGTGATTTCATTTTTTCATGGTTTTTTTTGCAAACGGTCATATAATTATTAAACAGATAGCTATCAAGAAGTACGACATTGTACATGAATGAAAAAAAAAAAATAGCTGCATTTCTTACATCTTTGTCTGTTTGTTCCTTTTTGAAGATACCTATGTATAATAGAATCTAGATAACGATTAAAATATCGCTGGTATTGGAGCTTCACGAGATACCAAAACTAATCTAACTACTTTTTTGTCTTGCTTTTCAAGACGAGAAGCGTGTAAAGAACCTTTTGCAGCGTTAAGGCAATATCACGATAGTAGCCTCAAGAATATTAGTCTTGACCTTCATGAGAATATTCTCGTTTACATACCTAATATAAATATTGGAATGTATGAGTTTAGCAAATCACTTCATACGAATTTAACAGAAATGATGTCTGATTCACTAAGAATTTTTCATAAAATAAACAAATAATGTGAAAATATTACTTTAGAACATGCTATATTAGATCAATAAAATATATAATATATCATAAAAAGTTTAGTGAAACGTAAAAATTTTGTCGTGGGAGAGTACTCTCGAGCCAGTAAATATCGGCTTTTGTCAAGAGTCAGTGAATCAAGTAAAATCGATGCCGAATATGCCGATATTTTAACATGCACTGATTTTAATGCATCGGTTGAGACAGAATACTATGGTCAATCTTTTACTTTAGAAAGTAAAATTTCTTATGATAACCTCATCAATTGATAAAAAACGGTAACATCAATGAATTTCTGGAAAAAAATTAACCTTTATTTTTGACACTAGATGTGAAAACGCACCTTCTGCCCTAGGACTGCAGTTTTCAAAGAAAAAAATAGTAGTATTTTTTTAGTTTTTTCGCTTTTTTGCTCCCTCTGCTCTAATAATACTATTACTTACACATGAGCTTAGCACTTGTAAGTTTTTTTTATCTGTATACATCTTTAATATTTATTCATTTTATAAGATAATAGATGATCAATACATATTAATTCAAGACACACATTGAATGATAACAATGAAAGTTTACGGGATTAATCAAGTACTGATAATGAGGTATACTTATGACGACGAGGAAAACCAACCCCTGTATCAAGGAGCTTCTTTTACTAAAACCGAAAGTATGATGGCTATTTTTACGTTAGTTTATCGATTTTTGATGGCAGGTGTGCTTTTGTCAAGCATTTTATCACTCATTTAATTGCTTTATATCCATCTCAATAATTATGTAAAACTGCTTTAGAAACTAAAAAAAAAAATCTTTTGATGGTAGAAACTCCTTGAACCGAACGTCACTACTACACTTCTAGGTTATTCTAAAGTTAATGATAACTGCTTTGGTTGTGAGCAAGATGAAAAATTAAATTACTTTGTAGAAATTCCAATTTTAAATCAATTGTCATCAATGTACAATCGAAAAGGCTTTCAAGAACTATCAAATTATTGCTTAACATGAGAGAAAAATTGAATCCAGTTACGACAAATAGGTTTATAAATCCTTACCTAAACAATTCATGAATAATGAAAATAATATCACATTTATTTAAAATGGTGGACTCTGATGGAACCTTTGTTTGAGGCGTCAAAAAATAAGTACCAGGCCTCTGCACTTTTAAATTATAACGAATTATCTCTGACATTATGGGCAAATAATGAAAACGTTATCCTGGCATGTCTATTGTTCGTCAGATTAATTTATTTATTTAATATAACCAATGATGTGTCCAGTGCAAGCTATTGAAACTCAATCTCCAGTTATTGGCGTCAAAGGTCCATCTGCGCTTAATACTTGTGATATTAAACAAGGCTTGGCCACAGATACACTCTAAAGCTCAAAAATTCTAAGCCTAGCCGATTTAACTAGCTAAACTTGCAAACTTGAGCAAGGCTTTTCAGTGAGTACACCAAAAAGAAATCAAGAAATTTTAAGCTTGACCCATTTTAATCAATAGAACTTGCGAGCTTCTGCAAAGCTTTGCCAAAAGTGCAAATTTTTGTTCGGAAAGGCAAAGGGCTACTCATTGAAAGTTCAGAACCTTATACCAGCTGTTCCCGAACGATTCGATCTGAAGGTGCTAACGAAGAGTTGGGTCAGCTGTTCGTCATGATTAAAGCATTTTTCCCAGAATATCTACCACGGGAATGAGATTAGAAAAAATCGCCTGGGTATCGAGTGGACTTGGCACGTCCAACAGACATTGATTTTTTCCCAAGTTTGACCTTATGGCCAGTCAAGCTATTATCAAGTAGTTAATAGAGGCCTTAACACCTATTTCAATAATTACATCTACATTTATTCTTTCTATTCTTGCGTATTCCAGAGTATTGAGAAATAAAATTTTTGGCATGCCCTAAAAGTTTGTTGGTTTGTAAAATAGTCTGTTGTTATGAATTAAAGTGAGATGTTACTACGAAAGTCGTTTGATTTTACCTAATGTGCTAATGGAATTAAGCAGCCGTCAATTTTCCGTTATTACTTTATCATAGCTCATGAGAATGAGATCTTTACTTACTAGTCCATGCATAATCTTTAAAAACATTCGATTGAATTTTTTAATAGTCTTCAACAAACAATTTGTCATAAATCAACGCAAAATTGTTGACCCAGAAACTTCCTAATGTAAACATGGAATGTATGTATATTTTTTTTTATTCCGATAATTTTTCACCAAATCGTTTTTATACAAATTTGTAACTGATTACTCAACTTGACAATTAGGAATTATTTTTCGTACAATAAATACTCTGATTAAGAATTACGTTCATCAAAATTATATATGTAATTTTACTATTGTTTACAGGAAGCATGATTCATTTTTCAAAAAGGCTCCTGATACTGTTACAGAAATCAATAGTACTTCGGAAATTCTTAGAAATATGGCAGCCATCACAAATATACATAAATGAAGTGGTGTAGAAGAAAAGATGTCTTTATCGTACTCAAGACTAACACTTAGTTATTTTACACTTTCCTTTGGTACACTGTATGTTAAAGTTGAGTAAGTATTTATGTATTTGATACATGTAAATTGCAAAACTTATCACTACACATAATAAAAATACGGAATTTAATAACATAACAATAAAAATACTTGAAAGGAATTTAAAAAGTAAAAAGTTATCAAATTTTATTTGAATACATTTCAAAATTAGAATAAGTTACTTAAATACTCTATCATAGAAAAAGTAAGTTCCATAAGATAAAATTTTTTTAATTAATCAATTATTTGTGTATCAATAGTACTTACACCCCCATGAGTTATTTACGTAATAAGTGCGGAAATAGTACATTTTATGCCTCAGATAAGTATAGAAGCAGAAATTGATTAAATTGAAATTTTATTTAAAAAAATAAACTTTGAGTAACTTAAACAAAAACATTTTCAAAGAATTTTACAACTGTAACAAATTTTGTTAAAGGACCCCGCACCAACACAATGGGATTGTGGTTCCNAAAAAATTTTTTTACAAAAATTAATATAAAACCACATTTACAATTTTTCAAAAAAACTTATTGACTTAGGACTTCTAAATTTCTAACATAATTTTTTAAGGATTGAACCTCGGTACGGCCTTCACTTTTTCTCGGAGAAGAATGACTTTGCGCCCTTAGAAAAAAACATCGTTCGCACCTTGGGCACAAACACAAAAACCCCACCATTCAAGTGAGATTATTTTACTTTGCGCCCACGGCACACGAAAACTACTATTTCTACCCGTGGGCGCAAAGTTATATGACGGAGGCGAAAAACAGCAGTTGTACTTTGCGTCCTCCGTAAGAAAAGTTAATGAAAGTTGAGACTAGTGGGTATTATTTCGTTTATATTTTAACCTAAAAACGTGCTTTTTTAGACTAAAAATACTAGTTTTTTTTCAGAATATACCGTAATTTAATTAGAATATCCTAAATTTGATGTAATTAAATAAATTTTCTGCATTTAAAGTATTTCCAGAAAAGTGCTAGTAGAACTGTTTAAGTGGAAGAACTAGAAATTAAATCAACCAATAATAAAATACAATGATAATCACACGCATGCACACACTTATAGATATATATATACATAAAATAAAAAGTTTGTTCTGTTAAAATGACATTTTTTTCAGATCCCACCATCAAAATAACAATACTATGAACGGAAGTGTTAATTTTGAAACTGCAAACAACCAATCAATAATTCATGATGTCGAAGTTGATTGTAGTACAATACTTGCTGACAGTATGTTCTCAAGCTTTGGATTTCAGCTGTTTTTGTTAATAATGTACGTTGCAGTTTTCATCGTAGCTCTTGTAGGAAACAGTCTCGTTTGTTATGTAGTTTTTAGAAATCCACATATGAAGAGCGTCACAAATTATTTTATTGTCAATCTTGCTGTTGGAGATATTTTGATAGATTTATTTTGTGTACCAACGAGTTTGATAAGTACGATAATATTACAGTATTGGCCTTTTGGATGGCATTTATGTCCTACTGTCAATTATTTACAGGTGATTTTTTCAAAAATGCTATTATTTTTCGAATTTTATGAGATAATGTTTATTATTAAGCTATAAATATTGTTCTCAAATATATATTTAATATTGCTATACATATAAATACTATTATACATATTGTTAATAAAAATTTTCGAGGAGAGTAATGTAAAATGATATCTTTAAGGAACAATTGTTTTGTTAATATGAGTTAAAGTATAATTTTTTTTTTTTTTTTTATGAAAAGTAGTGAAGTTACACTTTCTTAAGTACTATTTCCGCAACAGTATGTAATGATATTGTTTTTATCAGTACAACGATCACTCAATAAGAATGAATACATTATATTTAAAATTTACTTCTACAATATGAAAATAAGGCAATCAAACCAAAAATATAAAAACAAAAATTACAAACTTGAAAATACTTACCTTAGTACAATTTAAAGATTTTGATTTTTTTCTTTACTGTATTTCTTTAAGGATGAGTGCATACAGTTTGATTTTAGTATCTACACTAACCTTAAGTTATTTACACTCCTTGCATGATGTTTAAACTGAATAACATTAGTAAAATTGCTAAAATCAAAAGGGATTATTTTTCCCCTGGAGATTATTTTGCACTATCTTCCTCTACTTATTTTTTTCACTGCAAAGGAGTATTTTTTTGTACTTCGAAACAAGCTTATAAAAAATTATGATTAAACATGGGCCACAGATCTTTATCAAACCTTTTAAATTTGGTTGATAGTATTTCGAACCTTGTATTGAAGTTTTTTAAAGCAAAAAATTAATACATGAGTAACACATTGATAAAATAAATAAAATATTTGTGTACTTAGGTTTATCTTATGAACTATTAATGAATATAAATTCAAATAAAAAATAATGGGCAATTAATGAACAAAGTGTGTGTATAAGTACTGAAGTATACAAAAAAAGATAGAGGTAGAACCAAATACCAACTCATTATAAGCTATTAAAGACTTGACTTAAGCATTGACGAATACTTTTTTATTGTCCTTCCAAAATTTTGACACATTGTTAACAATTAATTCATTAACTTTAATTAATACTTTCTATGAGTGTATTAATTATGAAGTACGAGTTTGATATCACCTTAATAATACCAGTAGACTGTGTGTTTAAAATATTTAAAAAAAAAGTTAGCTTGTATAAACAAATTCAAACAAATGAGTTAGTAAAAATATAAATCATCAATAAAAAATATTTCTCATTATCAAAGTAAAAATATTTTACAAGACCGCAACAATAGTAGACTTGAAGTTTTTTTTGAGAAAATATTTCTACTATTATTTTTACAATATTACGTCACATTTAATATTAAGACTCCTCAAATTTTATACTGGTTTGGTATGAAAATATTAATATGGTATGATTAAATAGTAACAGTTATGTCAAACGCGCTTCACACAATCTACGTAACTGACACGGCTTTTTTCACTACTTACAAATAATACTCCCATATTTTATCATTTCCTAGGCATATACCTACCAAACCACCCAAAGTGTTTAAAAATTGTATTCACATTTGTTTTCCCATTCTTTTATCTTCGGATACTATTATACTTAAACAAATATTTTGTCATCAATCATAAAATTTTTTTTTTTGCACAATTTTTTCATCTAAATAAAAAAATAAAAAATTTGAAATAAAATATTTGCATTGTATATTAGGTAAATTATGAACTTACAATTACGTAATTATGTTATAGTTAGGATGTAAAATTTAATTCATCTTGCTTAGTTATTTCTTTTACCTATACCTACTAAGGTATAGTGTTTGAGGACTTTGACAAATCTCTGAAGGCTTGAGTAAAAATATTCATGTGATGTAAGCATTTTACGGTAAACTTAATAAAAAAAGAAAAAAAAATAATAATAAAACCATAGTTTGGACTAAAACTGTTAAAATACTACGTTGTTCGATTGTTGCTACAATCAATCAATCAAATTTTGATAAAGATCTATATCCCATGGTATGTAATACAAAAAACTGATAAGAATACCGTGTCACGTATTTAATTGTAAAATTATGCAAAAAATATTGCATACTTACTCTTATTATTACAAACTATTACTCATTAGAATTTTTTTTACAGGCTATAGCTGTACTTGTCAGTGCCCATACTTTAATTCCAATAAGTATAGACAGATATATAGGAATAATGTGGCCCTTAAGGCCACGGATGAATAAAAATCAGGCAAAACTATCAATATTCATCGTATGGATGCTTGCTTTAATAATTGCCTTTCCAATATTGTATAACTCTCATATGGTTCAACCAGAGCTAATCCATGAAAAATGTGACGTCTACGTGTGTACAGAAGTTTGGCCAAGTGAAGATCAAAGGTAAGGGTAAAAAACTTTACATAAAATAACTAATATTAAAAATTTATAATTTTTTAACTAATTAGTAATAATAAATATAAACTGTTGAATCCTTACATGTACTGAAAATATGTGGAACATTGGTTGAGTCTCTTATTAAACGTAGTAGCAAGTAACAGTGTGTTGCTCGAAGAACACATAAGTCTTACATACCCCCATATTAACAAGAAAGGATTCATACATATTCATTTAGTAGGTTATCGTTGTTTGATAACTCCATAAAACTATACTTATATTGAACGACGGATTAGTCTGATTCAATCGATATAGAAATATAATTTGATTCAATTTTGAATCATAGTTTTTATACAATTTTTCAATACTGAGTGAGAAAATAGTCGCTTATGAAATATTAACCTTGATTGTATCTTAAAAATCTAGTTAGAGCAAATTTCAATTCGATATTCAGATAAAGCTTAATTGTGATACAAAAAGAAACGCAATGGATCGATTGAAGTGGCCGATTGCCAGTTATTATCATACTCTGGAGAATAATATCCAAGCACGTACATTTATCACTTATTAAAAAAGCTGATCGAGAAATTCTAAAAAGTAATTTAACTTAAATAGAACATTTTTTATGGTTATTATTTTCTCTTCTTAGTAAATGAAAAGTATGGCAAGCATTATATACAGGTAGATTAGATTGTTGGAAATCATTACTGTCAAACTTTAGAAAATTGCACTGAAAAGAAGCACCATGTATCGATCCCTGTGAATAATTTAGGCAAAAATTTACTAGTAGTCTTTGTTGTGCCACGAAAAATTGGAAACCATTCCACTCATGTATAAATAGTAAGCTTTATTAATCAAACCCGAAATTTTCTTCATTCGTGGAAGTTCATGAAAAAATACACGATTAAATTTTGTTGAAAACATTTAAAAAAAATTTGTTATTCATATTGTGATGTATGAAAAATGTATTTATTATGACGAATGACTATTGCATTACACATAAGTGACTATGATAGATCATATAAAAACTCATTTTTCTGAACATGCATAAAGTGTGACAAAACAAAATACGATTCAATATCTGGTTTAAATTCGATGAAAAATAATTTAGAGACAATTATCATAAGCCAGTCCCAATCCAACAGTAATCAAAAATGGAGAAAGTCCATTTGGCTCTAATCACACAATGATTCTCCGACCAGCCCTAATTTGACACCGGCTTAACTGTTGCACTTGTGCACATAAGCACAAGCACGTGAGAATGTATGAAACGATCATTTTAAAAAGTTAATATCAGATTAGTCGCATAGATAGTGAATAACTTTCTCTACCTGAACGTGAATGGGTAAGGTTTCAATAAAACTAAATCCAAGATTACGGAAATTTTCAAAACAGTAGTTTCCACTTGAGAATTTTATCACTAGCTATTCAGATCCAGGTGCAGCTAACAAAATTCGATCACAGCTTTCAAAAAAATTTTCACAACTTCTGTTAAAACAAAATTAATAGACAAAAAATTGTCTTGGGTGTCGAGATCATCTTATATGTCTTTGCATACTAGTCTATCAACATCAATAGTGCTACTAAAAAAATGTGTTTTGTACTTTGTGTCCTTATGTATTCGATTAACTAGTATATTATATAATCAAAAATATCATTGAATCAAGCCTTTATTGTGAAACCGTTGATCTAAGTCCATGTTGAATTGATTACGATAAAAGACTGTAGCGTTGACCATTTGTATTTTTGTTCATTTTGGTGGTACGATTTTGAAGTACTCTTCTAGCAGACTATTGATATAAAATTGTTTGGAAACTAATATTACAATAATGTTTAATACTAAATGAATCTATTAAAATTTTAAGTTAATTGTTTATATTTTTTAGGGTTTATTACACTAGTACATTGATGGTATTACAATACGTAGTACCCTGCACGACATTGATGTTCACGTATGTAAGCATCATAAAGATAATATGCAACAAAAATCCACCTGGAGAAGCCGAAAACATGCGTGATGAACGTCGTGCACGATCAAAGAAAAAGGTACTTGTGACGTATATTTAAAAATTTTCTTATTGTAAACACTACTTTGAAACACATGCAGAAATTTTTTTTTTTTTTTATAAATCAAAGAGTATGAAATCCATAATAGTAGTGCGATTTTAATCCTGTATACTTTTTAAAAGTACATTTAAATTATTACTCAATCAAAGGCTTGATAAAAATCATACTTTTATAAAGTGACCTGCATGTAGTAAAAACCAACTTTAACAGTAGAAATGAAAAATGAAAGTTAAGAAGTGTGCATTTGAAACATATATTGTACATATAGATTCAGTTTTTATGTTATCGTTTCTTAAAGGCGTGGTTTTGATATTTACACGTAACAGAGAAGTAAATTGGACGACTCATACTTTCGTAAAATATTTTTCGAATGATTTCAGTTACTTTTTAAAGTATTTATTTATGTGTAAGACTACAATCATTCAATTGAATCATTAGAATCGTGTCATAATAGCATAAAAATAAAGTATTTCATTACTTCATAATACATTTTCCTGTATTTTGATTATTTAGAGGTGAAGTAAAATGAGACGTAGATACCAACATAAAAATTGACTGATTCAAACGTGAAACGTTAGAAAATCTCATGATACGTAAATAAATAAATGAATAAACACATAAACATGTATACATATAAAAAGTAAAAACAATGACAATAAAAACATAGAAATTTGCGGTATTAAAAAAATTATGTAGTAATATTGCCAAGAAATACTGAATATGTTTTTTCAGAGTATAAATACATTTACTACATAACTACAAAACCTTTTTTTCATTTTCAAATCTAGAGTTAGACCTTACAAAAATTTTCAAGTCAGTGCTTTCTTTTTATACCGTGACACTAATGTAATTCTATTTCTGGAACTCCCTAAAAAAAATATTTTTATGGATTAAATACCTAAAAATTTGGACTGAAAAATTATTACGAAGAATAGGATGGACAAAAAAAGAGGGGACAGGAGGCTTAATTACCTGTTAAATTTTTACAACTATATAGTATAAATGACTGAAAAGATACTCTGCTTTTTTTCGAAGGATACTTTTTTTATTGAGTGCGGATAACTAAACACTTACGTACAAATATATTTTACGTAATGATAGACACGGATGCATAGAATGCAAATATGGTGTATGCTATTCATTCACATTCACATTTACATTATACTTGCTAACTGAAACTTTGTAACAGATCATGTATAACACTATTGTAGTTTTTTATGTAAGCCTTTTTTATAGAAATTTTTGTCTAGTTTACTCATATCTAAGCACGTGGATATAGTTTTAAAATATCGATTACTAATTTACACACTTAATGAGACGAAAATGTGTTTAGAAACTTAAAATAAACAAATATGTATATTTAAAACTAATATTGTAAGCCACATTATCTTGCAGTAAATGACTATAATCTTTTGTAGAATATAACTAAAATAAACATTTTTGGTAAACAACAAAGTTTTTTTAGCTGTGTTAGGGTATAGTATCATAGTATCATAGACATACAGAAGCATGTGTATACTACACAATAAATTAAGATAGATATAGTATTATTGAAAGTAGATATTTTATAAAATTTATTGACTTTAAATTATTTTTAGTCACATAGATCATATTAAATGATTTTTTTTTTTTTTTGCGCCTTCTTTATATACCACACTACTCAAATCTTTTCGGAAAATCGATGACATGGCGCCTTCCATTCCCATTCCAAAAGGAGCTTCACTTCCAGTTGTCAGATAGAATGAACCGTTCCTGAAATCAAAATTTTTTATTTAAATTTGATACTGATACTTCAGTTATTCTTATAAATGTAACAAAACGATTGGTAGAAAAAAAATGCAATGCTTGATCTCACATGACATGACAAGTGTAACTAACATTAAAATCCATCAGCTATTTGGTCACATCAAGAAGAAAATGAATTCATAAACTGTATTGTTAATGTAAGAGACAATTAATAAACGGTTAATGAATACAATTTCACAATAAAATCAGTTAAACAAAGATAGTTGTAGAGACGTGGAACTAACGTGTTTGTTGGTGTCGCATACCCCATAGGCGTTGTCACACTGTCATCGCAAACTCCGTTTAGAAATTTACCGTAAGATTTACAACTTGAACCGATGAAAGCCTTCTCATTTCCCAAAGATTCCGCGTAATAAACCCAGGACCGTTGATGGCTGCAATAATCTGTAACAATTGAGAAAGCTATTTTTATTCTATTGATTTTGTATGTGCGTGGACTTAGAACAAAAATATTTTATTCGCGTTACAAAAACGTAGTTTGTGGGCGTGTCGGTGATATGAATGAAAAAAAACGTAGCTGTGAAAAAAAGAGGAGTATACGAAAAGATAATAAATACAAGCCTTCTGGACTGGAAAGTTCATAACTAGTGGGACAGCCGGGCTGAACACGTTTTCCGCTGTTGGGGTAAAAACTCGCTGAGCCAGATGTGCGGCTTATTCCATAAAAGCCTGCATCTGTGTGAATTATGTCAACGAACTTTGCGTCACTCGATTTGAGATGTGCCTCGAGAAAATTGAAAAATGGCCCGGCGGGATCCAAACCTAAAGATATTTTCATGAAAATGCAGAGAATTCCGCGGAAAAGTGATGAGTGATATTTTTTTTATTGCAAAGTGCATTTAGTATTGTATTTTTATATGCCCTTAAAAAGATGCGCTTTAAAATTTTGTAGGATTTCACGATTCTGGTACAAAACATGACAAAAATAAACACAACAATCAATCATAACCATGTGTAATTGATAAGAAAAATTTTAGAGTATAACTTTAAAATTTACCAATGGTGTATGTGTAAGTTGTATTAACTACATTCTATGTAACATTTTTTGTAAAAATATAATTTAAACTACATTCTGTAATTTTTTTCTCATCATGACATTTATGTCTGCAAAAATCATAAAATATTTTCAAAAGTGTTTGATATCCAAGGTTAAATCTGAAAATGTGGATATCAAAATCAACAATAAATTGAAGCTGTTTTTGCAATCTGATGCTCCAAAACAAAGTTATAAGCGAAATTTAAAGAAAAAATTTGGTTGATTTTCACTATTCGTTTAGTTACAAAAAAATCTGGCTCGTTTATGCCCCAAAACTATTTTACCATCTATTCTGATCACAATACAAAGCGATTCCATTAATTTTTGTCGTAGTCGCAGAAAACTCCTTATTATATGCTTCATCTACCCGTCTATAATTAAAAAATATTTAAACAATAACCCTCTACTTTCAAAGGTCTTATACACTCAATGACTGTGAATAAAAAAGTTAAATTTATTACCAAATTGATCATAAGTAAGCAAAAAGTTTTACATCAAAACAAAGGCACTTATATTTCGTTTTTATGATTTTCCTAAAGTAGCAATTACAAACCCAATAGTAAAATTTATCAATTACATTATGAAAAAAAATTTTTTTTCAAAAATCAGTGTCTAGCAAAATGCCTAAAAGAGTCTACATCCATAATTTAAGAACTTTTAACCCTCGTGGGCCCCAGTAAAGTGGTATTATTTGATAAATTGATCATTTATTTATAGTAATTGTATTAAATATATTACTTTACCAGAAAACAAGTGCCTTGCAAATCGTTTCCATAGTTTTTATAGATTATATTTGCAAATCCAAAGAGCAAATTAATCAACGATACTTTACAGTACAGGATAACCAATTTTTTTCTTTTAACACGAATGAACAAATAATTAGTTGATTAATTTATTATATAATCTAAGGTTGAGCTCAAAAGGTTTGTTTGATGTTCTGTGCTGAACATTGATTATTTATACATGGTACTTATTAAATACACTATATTATATTACATTCATTAAAAATTCATTATATCATAGATGAAAAATAAAAAAATCGGGAATCTTGTTACACATTTAATTATATTATGGTATGTAAACCATATGAAACACTGGATTTATAAGGCCATGGAAACTTTCGAAACGATTTAAATTTTCGAGCTAAGCTGACAGAGAGAGTAAAAAGATATAATATACAGGCGACGAAATATAAAAAAATCTGGAGATATTGTAAAAATCAGCGCGTAAAAGTTTTCCAAACAGCATAAAACTTACCGGTAATCCTGGAAAGCTCGAAAGTAGTATGACGACCCACGTAACCAGCAACTTGTGCTCCCATGGAATGCCCGACCAAGTGAATACTTCCCAAGGGTAGGCCCTGATCGATCAGCTCATCGATGGTGCCGGCAAGAGCCTTACCCACTGCCTCGGCATTTTTTACGACGCTCGGGTAATTTTTCCCTGCTATCAAACTCCAGTCTACCGCGATCACGTTGTGGTCCCCTCGCTTCAAATATGCTATGATATGGGGGCAGACGTATTTTAATGTGCACGTAAAAAAACCTAGATAGTTGTTGTTTTTTTTTTAAGAATAAATTAAAATATTTGTAAGAAAAGCCTAAATGTTGGTAATTGTTTCATGTTTCAATGCGTTCTTATTGGTATAATAAAAGTGAAACGATGATAATTTTGGCTAAAATTACGACATTTTAGAAATAATATTTGGATGAACTGGGGAATGTTATTTTTGATGAGGTAAACATTGGTGTCGCTCTTATTCACCTTGTTAGGTATGCCTAGCGACACATAGTGGCCAAGTATGGTACTGAGATAACCAGGTGATTGGAATGAAACCATCATTACAAACCACTTTAAAATAACAAAAAGACAAAATAAAAGGCTTTGACAGGAGAGAAAAAAGTGTTTTTAAATGCTTGAGTCTACAATAACAATGTGGAGTTAGTTTTTTCCGTTGTCTCATGATCATATTTAAAGAAAACCACGTTTAAACCTGCACTCGTTAGGTTATGTTTTCGTAAACAGTAGCGTCAGAAACGATTACTGATAGTCACTGACCGTCTTGAAGAGCTGCAGCTCCGAATGTTTACGAAAACATAACCTAACGAGTGTAGGTTTATTCGTTGTTTTCTTTTAA